GTATATCACTCTTATATGACCCACGCTTGCCCTAGGAATACTCTGTCTTGCCTGAAACTGTTTGGCCCATGCCTCTTATGACCACGTCTCTGTTTAATAAAAGCCTGCAAATGGATCCGCACGTCTCTCGTCTCGTCGCCTCCGTTACACATGCTTTGATGTGGACATAACTGAATATAAACCCAGTCTTCTGCAGAGGCCTAAACATCAAAGAGTCTCTTTCTCTCTATCCCCATCACATCTCACCTTCCCTGACTGGGATGTTTCTTCCTCTGCAGTCTCCACACTTCACTCTTATATCAAGGGCATGCACTGCTTGGGCAAAATCCTGTTTTCATTTAACTGATGTGTTGAAAAAAATCTTTTGGAGAAAGCCCCCAAAACATAAACAAGAATGCAACGAGAAAGAGAGAGAGATAGGAGGAGGTAAAATGCCAGTTTCCTGCTGCAGTTATTTTGTCATTAAGCACTTGCGACAGGTTGGGTTCTGAGGTCGGTGGATATTTGGGTTTTAGTCAGGCATCTGAGGAAGCTTCAGGGCCATTCTTTGATGCAGAATTGGAAGATCACTGCTGACAGCAAAAACAGTTGAACAGTTTAAGTGAGCCAACACTAGTTAGCTGGGATCCCAGGTTCGGTCAGTCTGGTCTGTTGGCAGTTTTCCCAGCTTGGCCAACCTTTGAGACCAGCTAAAGACCAAGTTGTGTTGTTTTTACAACATCTGGAATTGTTTTGAAGGAAATTTCACCATTAAGACTTTTTTTTTTGTGAAAGGGGCATGAATGCGGGCTAATAATTTTTACCAGTTCATAAAAAAGTACGCAGAAAAACAAATTGGTCAAGAAAATATTTTTACTGTTAGTAAATTTTACAAAGAAATTGCAAGTAACACTAAGCATGAAATTAAATATTAATAGTTGATAATAGGCAATAATTGCCACAATACTGAAATTTCGGTAATACTTTATTTTAAGGTGTCCTTGTTACACGTTACATGTACTTACTATTATAATAACAATTAATTATGCACAATTACATGCAAGTAACCCTAAGCCAAACCCAAACCCTAACCATATAATAAGTACATGTAGTTAATTAATATTACTCAGTACCTATATGTATAATTACACTGTGACAAAGACACCTTAAAATAAAGTGTAACCGAAATTTCTAAATTCGTTACGATACCTTGAAAAATATCGATATTCGCTATCATTTCCAACACCATGGGGGAAAACTGCCACAACATTAAGGGCATAAAGATAAATGCAACAAGGCATGACAATGAGGTATATTTATAATGAAAACTTGAGGTGGTAAAACACTGAAGAAAACTTATGGATTTGCATACATTTACTTCAAATTTCATTAGAAAGAAGTATGATGTTATGAAGTGTGAAATGTGTTAATAGATCATTTATTTAATTGTAAATCTGCATGTCAAATTTGCTCTTCCTTAAGTCACACGGTACGTTTTATGTAGTTTTAAGTTACTGGGAAACCAAACACCCCAAATCTCAGTTGACCTGCACAATCCCCACCAATCTCTGTGTGACATACTGGACAAAACCGAACAGTGCTGTTTGCTTGCACAGCTCACTGATAACACAGACCAGCTGCAGCCACACAACCACGGGTGCATTTCCCAAAAAGCACTATAAACAAACTGTGATCGCAAGCTCTATCATTACCAACACAGTTCAACGAATCAGTGTTTCCAAAAACCACAGTTCCAACAGTCTCGCAAACTTTTGTGGTTGGAACTACAGCTCTCGACCTAGTTTCTTGTTAGTATGCCATGTGGACTTTAATAGATCATGCTCCTGAGTGCACATGTTTGCATGTGCTCTAAAATCTCAGAGTATGACTTAAGAGGGAAACTGCGATTGAATCATAACAAAAGAGAACAAAATGTGACCCTGGACCACAAAACCAGTCATAAGGGTCAATTTTTCGAAATTGAGATTTATACATCATCTGAAAGCTGTATGTATGAAAGCTGATGTATGGTTTGTTATGATAGGACAATATTTGGCCGAGATACAACTATTTGAAAATCTGGAATCTGAGGGTGCAAAAAAATCAAAATACTGAGAAAATCACCTTTAAAGTTGTCCAAATGAAGTTCTTAGCAATGCATATTACTATTCAAAAATTAAGTTTTAATATATTTACGGTAGGAAATTTACAAAATATCTTAATGGAACATGATCTTTACTTAATATCCTAATGATTTTGGCATAAAAGAAAAATCAATAATTTTGACCAATACAATGTATTTTTGGCTATTGCTACAAATATACCCCAGCGACTTAAGACTGCTTTTGTGCTCCAGGGTCACAAATAGCTAAGTAGTCCTCAGATGCCATGTTCATTATTTACAGCAATAATCTAATGTTTATTCGATCTTAAACTAGTTAATTAGCTGATATTATTATTCAACCACGCATGACGACGTCAATGATGACTCCGATTTCATATTATTGAACTTACGTAGTTCAAATGATGGTTGTGCGACAAAATGACTAATGTTTCAGAACAGAGTCATGACTATCTAGTTCCCTTTCAGTCGGTCACTCTCGACGTCACGTCGGATGACCGACGAAATTGGGATCTCGCTTAGAGAGACCAATCTACTTCGAGTGTAAACTAAACGAGCCAATAACCGAGACGTTTCTTTTTCCAGCAATGGTAGGTAAGCAGTGAGGCATGCTGTTATACACTCTCAGAAAAATTCCCTATTCTGACACACAGGTTGATTAGAGACCTTCACGGATTGCGAGCCATTGTTCCAGAGGGACTGCCACTGTAGGTGAAGTGTAGTCGCGTCTAGGTGAGGATGCAAAGTGGCACTATAAATACATGCTTAAAGGGGAAATGTGTAATTTACTGTGGCACAAGACATGGTATCACACTGGAGCCATTCAGTCCAATCACTTTACATTCAGAGATGAAATGAGGAAGAGCTTGATAATAAAGTGTGTCCTCATAGCTACTATTACTGTCCACGTAAATCTTTCTCAATAGCACTTTTCTGTTATCAGCAAACCTGCAAGAAAGTAATCAGGTTGAGTGAATTACCTCAGGAACTATTGCATAATATCTGGATTATCCATGCTTTTATATGTAATTATATATTATATATATTTAAACATAAAATAAAATAAAAATCCACAACATTATTATTATTATTATTATTATTATTATTTATTATGATAAATAATTTTCCTTGTGATTTAATTTTTTTTATTATTATTCAAATGTGTCAATAGGGCCACACTTACATTAGGCATTGTTAAAAGAACTTTAACATTTTGTTGTTTATGTATTACTATTTATTTAAGTTATTTTAACTTCTTGTATATTTAGTATTAGTTTTTAGTATTATATGTTGACTCTATGGATACGTTGCTGAACCTGAGTACAAATTTTGTTCTCATGTGTCAATATGTATGACATAATGACAGAATGACAATAAAGAGTGAAACATTATTATTATTATATTTTATGAATAATAAAAAAAAAATAATAATTATTATTATTATTATTATTATCAATAATATTATTGTTGTATTATTATTTGTATTATTTTTTATGAATTGATTTTCCATAAAACAAACGTGTATCACCATATGTATTGTTATAATCAAAATATTCAAGAATGTTGTGATGTTTATTCTTGTATGGCCCACTGCTTAATGGCTGCATGAGACAGGAACAAGGCAGTGCTCTGGATGGATTTTGGATTTCTAAACTAAACTGCTGGAGAAGATTGATGCAAAAATAGGCTAGATCTGCTTAATGAGATGAGAGTGCTGTGAATAATCTACGCTCAAATACACAGACTGCTAGTTACAATCTCCATTTCAGTCTCCATAATAACATGCTGTAATACTAGTAATGAGATTTTTATAGAGCTATTTCCTCAAGTGCTTTTCTTTACACTGACCACGTCCTGAGAAGTGTAATCATATCTGTTTGTGTTACTGTATCTAATATCTTCAATACAAGGAACAAAGCACTTTATCAAAGCAAAGTGTAACATATGCCTGTAATCTCAACACAGTGCACGAAAGTTGCTGTCTTTTTCTTCCCATAGCGAGCTACTAAAACCTGTAAAATTGGCTCTTTCTTTTCCATTTCACTCAAATCAAATCATCAATTCAGTCAGAATCAGCCTGAGAGCAGCGATTTTCAGCACAGTGTGATTTAATAGGCAGATGACCACTTAGTGTGTGTGGCGACCCCATTAAACAAGATGAAGGAAGATCAATGGAAAGTGTTTTCCCATAACCCTGAGTCAAGATGTACCAGTATCTGCCCTCTTATTTTTCTTTTTTTTTTTAGATCTACGGTTCATGTTACTGATCACCAAAACTGCAGCTATGAGAACAACAAGAGCGAAGCAACATCCAGTCCAATTAAACCTCAAATGGCAAAAATAAATCCTTATAAACCCCTAAGTTACATCAGAGTTGTTGTTGCTGCATATCACAGTTGAGTAGTTTTAATAACAAATATAGACAGATATCAGAGAGACGTCCTTGATCAAAAAATCTTAAAGAATTTCTATCCTTACAGATTTAAATATGGGATCAAACAAAGAAAATAAAAAATACTAAAATAATATAATCATATATTAAATAGCATTTATAATATTTACATAATAATATAAACATATATATAAAATGAATATTTTAATATTTAAATGTTTTTAAAGCCTTGAAAACTCATCCTATGCAATTAACATTCAAATCCATGAGATCTAAACGCGAATAAGCGAAAATGTTGTTTCACCGGTGATCTATTCATGAGAACGATATTGTAATCCAGTGGCATCCAGAAGCAAACGAATATGCGCCAAACACTTCATCATGAAGTTGAGCATATCATGAAAGCATCTCCAAACCGGGACACGAGCTACAGCTGCCCAGAGCCGCACTTTCCCCCAAAACACGTTCTCACACGCAAACCCCCGCAAAAACAGCGCTCACACTGACCCTTCTGCTGCTTGAAGGACTGTATGGATCCAGAGTGATGCACCATGGTGGTTATCGATAGAGATCCTCGCGTGCAGAAGATGAAGGCAGGATACATGGGAAAGTATGAAGCGATCGCGTAGGTGTCTCTCCTCTGCGCAAACCAAAACCTGGCTACCCTCGCGCTCCACCATCCGGGGCTGTTGTCATGGTTACGTACTGTAAGAGGATGAACAGACACCAGATGACCCGCGTTCTGGGGGGCGTTCACACAGAACGTGCTCTTGCGTTCCGTCTGCGCTATTTTGAATTGTTGGACACATGCGTCAGACGGACGTCTTTGACTGTTACGTCGCGTCCTGCTCTTTATTCCTAACGCTTTGCGACATAGCGTTGCATTCTAAGACGCGCTGTCAAGAGTGTCACAGTAACTTTTTGAAAAACACATCTCCAACGCGTTCTGTTCCATTCCGTTCTGTTTTTGGACACAAGATAAGGAAATGATGAGACTCGGATAACCCGATACGCATTATCTCCAGGAAATAATGCACCAATTATATTCATAATTTCCAGCTATTTCCAGCTATCAAATCTGATTGGTTGAGAACCGTGAGATATTGTACTGGTATCGCTACAGGAACGCCCTTTCACAATTTTGTATCACTCCGCTTGTTCTAGCCGGGTCTATGTATTTTTTTTTTATTATTTTTTCCT